GCCATGGCGAGCCGTGGCTGCTACCGCAGTCGGCGCGCCGGGGAGAGCCGAGGGGGCGGCCGAAGGGCAGGCACAGAACATAACGCGCAAAGGTGGAAGAAACGTCGCTCCCCGCCTTTGCAGCTGCAAAACACGGGCTTCCTGAGGCGCAACGTGCCGACAGCCTCTTCTCAACATCCGAGAGATCCCCGCAAAAATGTTGCAGCCCCAGCTCTGCCTCCTGGGTGGCTGCACGGAAACGGACCGATGCTCGCACTGCACTCCCGGGAGAAGGGGGGATGCCGGGCTGCCACCAGGGAGGCACAGCTCGCCCACCTGCGAACGGATGCATCTTCTCGTGGACAGTGCATGTCGCACTGACCTTGAGAAGCACTGTCCGATAATTAACACCTTTGCAAGTCCACATAAGCATGTTTTTCCTGTACTGAAAAACCTTACAAAGAGATTTTCAGCATTGACGTAAATGGTCAATACTGGAGGTGTTCAACAAGGGCAAAGAAAATGAAAAAAATTGAGAGTCAGTCAATATCTAAAATCCAGATAAACTATACAGGCTTTTAAAAAAACTATGGCATTAAATATGACTTTATTGAAGCACAATTTATGTTTTAATTGATTTGATAAAACCATTTTAAATCATAAGAGTGCAACCTGACACAGAGCGCTCTATGCCACAGGGCAACGTACAAATATAGTCAAAACAACAATAAAAAAAGTGGTCCATTTTTCAAAAATACTTGTAGAAGCCTAACAAATTCATCAACACAATTCTGAAGTGCAAAATGCCATACACCTGTAAGGACAGCATGTACTCATGAGGGGGACAAAACCGTACCCAAACTGGAAAAAATGGTATGTTTTCTGTCAGTACTGGCTAAGATCGAGTCTGCAAACCTGTACATTTACTTAAAAGTATCTCAAGTTGTAAGTCCAAGGTTAAAGGAAAAAAATGAAAGCCTCACAGCATTAAGCACCCATTGATCAGACAATGTTTAAACAAAATGAATACAAAAGCAATCTTAGAAGTTATCAGCTGTAGTATTTCCCCCCAAAATGAGCTACACCATCTTCTCAAATATTGCACAAGCCAACAAATAAATAAATACACAGATATTAAAAGACATTAGCTGAATTCGAGGATTCCTCCATGCCTTGTGTTATATACCATTCATGCTTTGCACAAAAGATTATAAAACAAACTTTCCTGTTTACCACTGACCACCATATCTACTGTAGGAGCTTTTCCCCTTGTGGTCTTACTCATTTGATCTCTCTTCCCCTAAAATGTTTTAACAAACTAAGTTTACATGAACCCTTTTCCAGACAGAACATTCACAATCTCATGCTGGTTTCAGAAGCAAGGTCCCTTTGGAGAGAAATACTTGTCATAAACTGTTCCAGAACCCTGTTCACATTAAAGCACTAGACAGTTTTGATAACACCATATGCTTCTTTCTCGTCACAGAATCTTGGTCCAAAACCAAGCAGCTTACCCTTGGGAGGCAGAGAGAGGAGGCTTCAGCTTCTTCAGTTTATTTAGTACTTAAGTCTCTCAGGCAACGACATGGCCAGCGAGAGCCATCTGCTGTAGAGGGGTTTGTGATGCACACTATATAAAGAGCAAACACTTCTCTGGTGCCAGCCAGCTGCCACCTCAGCTTGGTTGACTGGTCAATGCCCCTACAGGTATAAAGGCCATTTACTTTTTATCAGTAATTTTATTATCTATCTAACCGCTCTGTTCTTGGACTCTAATCTTAGATGGAAACATTTCACCCCTTCTCTCCACCCCCAAGCACTTTATTGAGTAACCAACAATTTGGTTACATGCAGTTTTCTTCTCTGGTCTCTTCTGAGCTTTAATTTCAGTGCATTTCTCATCTTAGGCGGAGGCAATACACACTGTATGCTCATCTAGCACAGTTGGTTTCTACAGATGCAAGGACACTATACACCGAGCCATAAAAGGCTTACAGCAACTAAATGAAATCCAACTGATCTGGAAGATGTTTTGGCAGCTAAGAAGGTACAGACTAGCAAAGATGCAACTGGCTTAAGAACTATGCCTGCATCTCAATTATTTACCTGCATTTAATAGTGAAGCCATTTTAGTGCTTTTCCTTTTCTCCTTGACAGGGTGATAGTTTTGTTGCCATTGCTGGTCAATGAGATCCCCTAATTAATCCAGGGAAAGTTACAAAGAAAATAAGTAGGGAATGGCCTGAGGCTCCAGCCACATCTTGGATAGATGTGGAAGCAGATAAATTCTTCTTATCACATCACAGCTCCAAGCTCTGGAGCAGAGCTGCAGCCAGGACTAAAGAGATGGGGAACTTCCGAGCAAAATCAGAGAGCTGTATACAAAACAAAGCACATGTGGCAGCTAAAGATAATCAAACCCTTGACTTACAGCTTTCAGTTTATTTCTTTTAACACCATTTCCTCCACTTACCAATGGTATCATTTTCCTCCTCCTTTCAGCACCAACCCATTGACCAAACAGTGCTGGGAACTTTGTTCTGATCCAAGAAGGGTACATGAAGGCAGTTCCCACCTCACCCTCCCCCTGGCTATGGTGACCGAAGAGTGAACTGTCAGTGGGAGCCTGTAGTGTCAGAGTTAGAGGAGGAGGCACTGAGATCCTTTTAAAAAAAAAAAAAAAAAAAGGCAACCTCTTCAGCAAAAGGCCTGCAGCACACACACTGCATCCCTGAAGATAAAATCATTGCATCTACAGGGCAGGCTATATGAACTTGGAGTCAGACCCTACGAGTTTAATGTGTAGATGACGCTTAGCTTACACCCATCCCCTTGAGAGCAGCAAGGGTTCCTCCACCTTTGTTCAGTGCTCGCTGACTAACAGTTGCCCTCTGTCCTTCCTGCAGCTCCTTGCATTAGTTTTGCTGCACTGCAAGAGAGAGGGGCTACTTTAGCGCCTGCTCAGGTACAGAGCAGGGGGAGCTTATATGATAGGAGAGAAGCTTTACATGTTCTCTCTGAACCTGAGGGATCACGTAACACAGATGTGTCTCTCTGGGTGGAAGAGGGGGAATGGCTTGGAAACCAAGTAGGTAATGCTGCTTAATTCTCTGTCCTGAATGTTACGTTACAAAACTCCCAGCTGTATCATTCATGGACAACCAGTGCCCCATACTTATGCCCCGAGGGCCAGGGTATACATGGAAGATTGAAAGGCCTAAAGGAAAAAACAAACAAACAAACAAACCAACCAACCAAAAAACACACTTCAACCATCCCAGTCCATTGAGATGAAGAATCAGAATCAACTTCTGTTTTATGTGTTCTCTAGACTTGGCACAAAGACAGCTCAACTGGGAAGCTCTTCTTCAGTTTGCAAACCCACAGGCAGGAAAAAAGTCTGGACACAGCTGTTGCAGACTGACATTGCTAGAAAGCAAGGGTATAGCAGGCAAAGCTCAGGCCCCAGGCAGGATGCTTATCTCCAGTGCAGCAGGCTAACCATACAGCTGGTATTTGTGAGATGTGTGCATTTACACTTGGAGAGCGGCTATGCTATCCCAAAGCATAAAGTGAAAGACCTTCATATCACTGCTACAATGAACACACACAAGCGAGACAGAAGGTCAAAGCATTGTTGCCCATCCCTTCCCCTAATTCAAAAGATCAGTCATGTGATTTCAATTCACAACCTCCCTAAAAGGTTTCAGTACAGCTGTTTTGTGACATATCAATTCCCTTACCAGCTGTCATGGGAATTTTCATGGCAAATGCAGGACAGACAGCACCTTGCTAATGTCTGTCCTCTTCAGAGAGGGGACACGGAAAAGGAGCTTTCAAGGCTGCTTCTCGTCCTCCAATGGTTTAGTGATTGCTGGAGGGAGATTCTACACCCTCTGAAAGTTCAATGTGTCCATACTCAGAATGTTACACCAAATACCAGTACATTCACCTAATCCTGCTGTAATGAGTGTTCCTCAAACACAAGCTTTAGACGGATTTTCTTTTCTTTTGAAAGCATGTTTTCATGCTGTAAAGCCTTGTAAGTTGTGTTGAGGTTTTTGGTGACAATGCCTATCAAGGTTTAGTTTCTAAAAAGACATATGTTCTTGGTCAAAGGGGAACTCCATGTTGGTGCAGGGCTGCCAAAAGATACATCAGCATTCTCCTTCCCAACCACAACACTTTTCCTTAAAGTCCCAAAGCACCAAAATTCTTCCAAACAAAAAAGTTACAGAAGACAGAGAAGTCTAAACAAAACATCATGGGAAAAGTCACCAGAGCTTTATGGTGGAGGAAGGGGAAGAAAACATTTGGCTCCCACTTATAAATAATTTAAAACAACCCGAAGATATCTGTACAAATACGTCCAAACAGAAAAATTTCATATTCCACAGATGTTGAGAGATTCAGCGACCTCTTGGGGGCACAGGTGGAGGATAAAAACCTTCACTGCTTATGGGCCTACAAAAAGACACAGAATAAGAATACATTAAAAAAAAAAAAAACTAGAGAATAGGATTCTGGAACAACACATTGCATACAATAATATCCCATTTAAGAATGCTGTACACAGAACAGTTTTTCAAGAAGAGAAGCACATACTGATGGTTACCACAAACAGATTATCAGTGATTCAAGCAACAAGCGCAGATACCAAGATGCCAGAGCTCTATTCCTGGCCAAGTTATTTTTATTTCTGCTTCTCCAGTTACAAAACTATTACTGTTCCTGGGAGGAGATGCTATAATACTTGGAGTAAAATTTTGATAGTATAGTAGCTCTCTTCTGAAGATTAGATGAGGAGCAATGGAAAAACATCAAATGCTTAAAACCTTATTTTTTTTTCTTTGAACTAACTACACATAACTCCAGCTATACTCTTGCCAGAGCCAAGCCCACACACAGAACTCCCACTGCCTCAATGCATCAGTAACTGCTCTTTTAACAGTTGGAGAATTTTATTAACATCTGTACTTATATGAGCCTCCAAGGCCTTGAATTCATACATTTGCACTGGTCAGAATAAAGGATGTTTGTAAGTTAGTCAAGTTTATAGCGGTCTGATCAAATCAATGCACAGAACCTCACACCTTTTATCAAACTAGTGCAGTTCTTTGAAGTAGAACTGTTGATGTGTCAAATTTGCCTTGGAGAGATCTGAAATTTGCTAAAGTGGAAAAAAAAATCCAAGGGAATGCTGAAAGGGAATTCCCTTTGCATTGCATTTGGTGTCTTGTGAGAGAATCTTTTCAGGAGAATCAGGTACTGAACCTCTGCCACAGGCAGGATGCTATTTTAGCTGGGTCAATCTAATTTATTATAGCAAGTGTTGTGTTTCAGTAGTGCTGCCTTTTGCAGCGTGCAAAACAGAGTAATAGGATTGCAATAGGCAGGTTACCAGCTAGGAAACCAACTCTACCAAGTACTCCAGATGAGTAGGAAGGATCCCACAACTACTAGTAGTGTTTGTATATAGGTAATAGTCTGGTAATCGCAATAGTCTGATAACACATTCACTTCCTGCCTTGCTCTCTGCCCAGTGCTACCGTGCTGATCCACTGGAAGTTTATGGAGGAGCTCCATTATAGCTTTACCTGCTTGCACCTCGGGGAGGCACTCTGGGAGGCCTTTCAAGCGGTGGGAGAGACAGCCTCTCTGGTTGGCAGGCAACAGGGCTGTGGCTTCTAGCTGCTTCTGGGACTTCGTTGTCCTACAAAATGAAAAAAGGGTGCATCAGGATCCAAGTGCTTCTGAAATACTTCTTCACCCCGAATGCACACATCTCCCTCCGTGTTGATCCTGGCACATAGTTTCTGGACTGAACTCATTGGCATACGTAGACACATGTACAATACAATGGAGAAAGCTATTAGTGTGCTATTAGTAACGCGGTGTCCGTATGCTAAGTGTTTGGTGAAGTGACATTACAAACCTGGCTACCTGGCTAAAGCTTGTGAGCCACCTGGGCAGTGAAATTTTGAAGTGGTTTGCATTAGTGGCACGACTGCAGTTCAGAAACATCTGAACTGCACTAGTGAGGACAGAAGAAGCAGAAGAGGAAGGTGCAGAAGGGGCTACATACAGCAGAATTCATTTCACGACGTAAATAGTTACATTTTGACATTTCTGCAAATGCAGTGCCAGCCCTGAGCTCTTTTTCTTTTGCATGAAAACAAAGCCATGTACTACAGGCCAGTAGACATATATAACAAAGATGAAGGCTTACCTCACTGTCCCCTTCCATCCCACTACTGACGCTCAATATGCTCCGAGTGCTGGAACGGTTACTCGTGCTACCTGGGGTTAGTAAGCAAGAAAAACAAACTGATTATTAGATCTTGGCGATGTACCTGCAGATCACTAACTCAGGACTCCTTTTAACCTCATGCTTACTCCTTTCACGTAGCACCTGATGCTTGTTTAGATGGATTTACTTCCATTGTTATTTTTTACGTGTTCATGATCCCAACAACTACATTTCACACAGCTCACAGCACAAGGCTAAACTATTCATTTTCCTTCCTTTCTAGCAGATTTCTCCCCTATCTAGGTCCAGAATTATGTCTGAATATCCACAACCATAACCTAGCCGAAAGGGTTCAGTGCCAATATCAGCTTGCAAGTCAGATAAATATTTTCACAACTGTTACACACCCAACTTTTATGTATATTTAAACCGTCGGTCTCCAAGCCATTAACAGCTAGGTGGAGGTAGGTGGCTCAGAACGCTGTCACACATTCATTACTGGAATAGCTGTGACTGCATGAGAGGTTATTCCCACTAGCTGTTCACTACCTCCTCCCACAAGGATCCCTGCTCATCATAGGAATGTTTCCTAGGCCATTACAGGGCTAAAAAGACAGATGTCTTCAAATGACCTTCAGCAGCCATTTAAGCAAACCTATTTAACTTGCACAGACTCACACGAGGGTATGTTTTTGTGACCAGTCATGTCAGTTCCGAAGGGGACAGCAACTCAGACATATCTTAAACAGCTATTATGCCTGGCTTCAGTCATATATATATTTACTATGTTCCATAGGGCTGTGCAATATTGGGGCATTACTCTAATGCTCAGAATCCTATACATGGCAACGGATGCTAGAGCTTCTTGGAAGATGCAGTACCTCCCCCCAGCCTGAGCGTGGTAGCTTTCATTGTTAATTCGTACAAGCAGCACTTACAGAGTGCCAAATACTGTATTAGTGTCTGTTCTCACAATCACACCACAGGAAACAGCCAAGCGGCACACAGTGAACTCTGCAGGCTGTTTAACATCTCCCTCATAACCGCTTATAAGTTAGTTACTGGCTCAATCAGCTGCCTCTGACTCCTACCTCAGATGCATGCCAGCTATATCCTATCAAGAGCCACAAAGGTAGCAACCTCACTGGGACTCAGTTTTCTCTTCAGAGGACCAAAACAATCTTAATTTCTATAAGAGTTGCTCAGTCTGCAGTAACAATGAGAATTCAGGGATTTCATTTGCACAAATTAAGCTTAATAAAGGACAAAGATAATAAAAACGGCCAGAGTGTCCGAGTCACTCAAGAGTTCAGGTCCCACAGACAGTGGGAAGAAAAATGAAGAACAATGCTGTCCTTCATCTGTAAAGTTGAAGTGGCACGCAGAGACTGGTTCTCAGCCTGCAATACAGGTAGGCCCTTCAGAACAGCACACTGCCTCCTGGGAATCACAGTAAGGGATCATCCCCTTTTTCTATTAGAGTAGCTGCCATCTACTTTTAAGAACTGATGAGTAGGGACATGCCCTCCCTTGGAAGGTTCAAGAGAGTCTTCAGCTTAGCTTTCAGGTTTTCCTCCTGCAGAGATGGAGACAGACACAAGATGCATGCCCAAACCTGAAGTTGCTTTTAAAGTTTTAAGAACAGTCACCCTGAGGCATGCAGGATTCAAGGTGACAGTGTCAGCACTGGGGATTCAGGAATGGAAGTCCTATTTCCTGAGCTGACTCCAGAGTCAGGCTGAGAAAAACTTTTCCATTCAGCTTTTCCATAGAGAGGGATGGCACCCAGAGTTTGCTTACTTGTTGTGCTTGACGTGCTTTCTGTTTTCCAGTCTCCTCGCTTTATCTCCTTTTTTGGTGGGAAAAGGTTTTTCCTAGGGGCATATTCATATATGCCACATTCTGGTTTCCCCAGAGTGTTATGAGAATGCCGAATGGGCACAGTTATTTCCAAATCTGGAAGGGAAAAATCAAAATGAACATCTCGGAAAGGCCTGCGCAAGTCTAGCCTCTGCAAGATAGCTCTGTATCCCAACACAAAGCTAAACACAATCACGTAAAGGAGATCATAACTGTATAAGTATGCATCACGATTCATTCCACTGACATGGGCACCCTTTCCTCAGTCTGGGAAACTGAGGAGTAAAGCAGCTTCCCCACATTCCCCCACATTAGCCAGACATTTTCTGTATGCTTTTTGACATGGATGTGAACACTAATATATCACATAGCAAATGCAATACACACAGACACATTTCTGCCTGAAGAACCTATTAGCATTGTCAGCTGCTTCATTACCACAGAACGTCAGTCAGAGACTGTTACCTGCGCTTTTGCCTGTTTTTTGCTTCTCCATTTGCCTCCGCGTTATGCTGTCTCGCAGTCGTTTCAGATTTTCCTAAAAACATCAAAAGATATTCTTTTCAGTGCTTTCAGATAAACGAGAGCGAGCAGCTAAATGAGAGCGAGCAGCTCTCTAACAATACCAATAACATACTTCAGCTAACTTCGCAATCAAGCTGCAAAAAAGCCTGCTAGACCTGGCTGAAGTCCAAACCACGTCAACGCGTTTTAATCTATTCCCTTCAGAAACCCATGTGTGCCTTTCAGAAGCCAAGTTTTTTCAGAAGTTCATTGTTCATGTTCAGGTCAAGTTCACAGAGTCACTGGTATTTGCAGATAACCAGAACATTTGCTTTAGAACTCCCTCTGTTTTCCATCTCCGCTGCTAGTGACAACGGCAGAGAAACAGGACTCATGTTCAAGTCACTGCACAGTCCTTTCTGTACTTATGAACAGGTAAATCTGAGTGCAGGGGCAGAGAAAGCTGCCACACAGCCCAGAGCGTGAGGGACAGTTCAGAGAGAATTCAGGATGTTCCCAGCGAAGCAAGAGAGGAAACCTGGAAATGTAACTCGTAACAGTCTCTTCATCATTTTGCGGCATCATACTGCATCTTACAGTAAGAAAGGGGAAAGGGAGACTTTTTCAGCAGAGAAATATGTATATATGTACAAGGGGGAACCCCTGGACAGGTGGGGAAGCAGAAGGAGCAATCGCTGTAACATAAGGCAACATTTTGAACAGAGGCTTTGAATGATGCTCACAGGATGGAAGTTCAAGTGCAGGAGGAGGTGACATGAACCTAAGAGCTGCCTTTGAGCTCTTACAGAGCAGGAATCCACAGAACACAGGAGGTTCTCTCTGCCACAGACACCTCCTAGAGCAGCGTTGCCTTCTTTATTTACAGAAGAAGGGATTCCCATGAGTACCTTTTGGAGAGAGACGACCCTTCCAGGGGAGAATCAGGAGGAAAAAAATCTTGGTTTTGTCCTGACAGCTACCAAAAACAGAGTCTCAAAAACCTTAAGTGTCAGGCCAGACTGCTGCAGCATGAACAAGAGCTCCAGAAGAAGCCATTTGAAGTGGGAACCCCACTCTAACTTGAGAATGGAAACTTGAAATTATGGCTACTGGTTCTGCTGCTGATTGTGTTGCTGCTGCCAACACCGTGATTCCCTCACTTAGCTGAGCCACCCAAACCCTGCTCCAACAGTGAAAGAAATGCACCCACGCTGAACTGCTTATGATTTATACATAGAGAGGCAGCTGTATTTCTTAAACAGTGGAAGCAGCCTGTACCTGCTGGAACCTGAATGATTCTGATCTCTTTTTCTGGTTCAGTTGCCACTCCTTAAAATGAAGAACAGCTTCATCAACGTTGAGTATTCCCATCTTCACTTGTTCTTGTAATGTAATCAGCTGCCGTTGACCTGGGGTTTTCATTCCAGCAAATGGATCATATATGCTTGACTGAGACAGGTCCCTTACAGGCCTGACTGCTGGCTCTGAAGAGAAAAGGACACCAAAAACATTACTGAGCTAGTGGCACCTGCCCTCCTCACTGAATACAAAGAAACTTAAGCAACCTCGATGTAGCAGAGATGCCAAAAATTAATATTATGGATTGAATGTTTCCCTAAGCACAACTCTGTCAGGGCTAAAGGTCCCAGCTGAGAGGTAGCACTGTGTGCAAATGTGTCCTAGACATAATCCCTTCTTAAAAGCATCATTTAAGTGAACAGCACAAAATGTTCTCCTTAAAGTGCTCTCTTTCATCACTACAAGAATCTCTCCTGAGCAAGCCATAAAGCAGCTCCACTTCAGCAATCACAAAGCTAGACTCTTCTTAGATAATCTATGCACTGTAGTTCCAGAAACCGAAAGGCGAAAACTCATCCTGCTGATGCTAGGTCTTTGTAACTCATTTGCAACATAGGGAGGAGTTCCTAGCACATGATACTGAAGCTAGGATGTGGATCCTGGCACCTGACAGCGTACAGGATAAGAGGTTAAAGAAATAAGGGCACAGTGTGGAAACAGAGATCAATGAGAAGCAGTTCACTAACGTTATATCCCAGGAAATGATGATTGACGGGCAGTGACTATATCCAGAAGATCAAAAGTGGAACACTGCTCCATGAAGAAATATGGGTCACCACATAAAAAGGGACTTCAAAGATCATTACCATCCTGTCTTAGGACAAAGTCCAAGACAGTAGACATATGCACAGGATGTGATAAAGGAGTATCACTCACAATCTGCAGACATAACAAGGCTCCAATGTCACATAAGGTCATAGTGGTTCTAATAGGGTCATTCATATAGGACTATTATTTCCAGTCTTGTAGAACAGCCTACTCTATCCTATATGCTTTTCACATAAATGAAGCTACTTCAGCAGATTGGGTCTTGGATTACTAGTACCATTTTGGGGGCAAACTCCTGACTTACCTTTCTTAACCCTTCCTCTAGAGACATAGAGGTTCTCAGGTCTTTGAGCTTTCTGTGCAAAAACTGTAAAACAAACACTCTTTAGACACCGAAACACATCTCAGGAAGACAGAAATAGCAAGGCTGAACATGTGAAATGTACCCAGTCCTGCACCTCATTACAGCTTATGCTGCCTCACAGAAGTCCATAGAAGAAAATAGGATAAGGAGTTGTATGATAGAACTCCCTTTCCATTGACCTCAAAGAATTTAACTCATTTAGAATTATCTCTAAGAGAGATATGGATATGCTTTTTCACAGTCCTGTCATGTTCTCCCATGTTCCCCTGTCATGGGAGTTGCGGGGTCAGGGGGAGGCGTGCCACTGAAATGATATTCCCACACTTGACTGGACTTTTTGTTAGCATGTTTGTGAAATATTATGATCAAGTTTTCCAAAACTGCCTAGGAACCAAGAGATATTTTTTTCCTTCATTTTAATTTTATTTATATATATAAATTAGGATGGATTGAGGTTGAGAACTATGTTCTATACAAATGCTATTGAATCAATGACACCATTATACAGGAGCAACGTCTCAGTTCACTAGGTTGATTGTGACCTTACAATATCAGGATCTTTCCCATTTAGTTAGATTTGTTGTTCATACTGGCTGCAGGAAATCTGTCATCCTCCTGCTTTCATTAAGAGGAAGCTCAGGCCAAGATCTCAGGATACAACTTCCCCTACTACTTTCAGAGTAGGTAGAAGAAATACTGATCTGAACCTGGATCCCAATGGTAATTCAGCTCTTACAGGCTGAGAAAGACTCCAGAACCAAATAATCCACAGGTCTCAGAAACCATATGTAGAATTTCTTGAATGTCATTTGACAACTGGAGCCAAAGTCAGGCCTGTTCTACAATTGACTTCAGTCTGCTGTTTAGGTCCTGGTACCCAACTCACTTTTGGAGATGTACAGCTCATTGTCTGGCTGTGGAGAGCTGGATTCAGGTCTTGGAACAGGAACTGGAGGTCTGCCAGCCATTTCCTGTGGAACGGTATTTTGTTCCACTGTATAGTAGAGATCTCCCTCACCATACCGCTGGTACGCTCCTTCCTCCGAATCTGGCACATCCACGCTACTGCCTACAAACAAGTAAAGTTTGTAAGACGCACAAACTGGCCACGTTCCTCCACTCTGTGCCCAGATGCACTGTATACCATATTCTTACCAAGCTGGTCGTTTCACAGGGAAAAACATCCATTTCTGCAGTGAGTTAAGGTGCCAAAGCCCTCGAAGACAGGACTTGAAAAAGTCATTAACTTCTACTAGCGCATAAGTGCTTGCCGCTAAGCCTGTAGCATCTGTTTTGGTGAAGAAACTATGGTGGAAAATCTCTTCACTTTTTTTTAAGAACTAACACAAGGAACACCCTAAATTCCAGTTAATTAACATAACACCGCAATTAACAAGCCAAACAAAGCACTGGTTTCCAAAAGCTACTTGTAGCTCATCTAAGGAACTCTACAGGGAGTTGCTCCTTTGTCTGAAACAAGCAATGGCCACCAGCTGACAGTACATTTAATCTCAGACCAACGTGTATCAGGGGAAGCCAGATGTGTGCCTTTGTGCTTACAATGCCCAGCTATGCTTACACCACCTCATCATCTCTGCTCTTCCCTCTTCTCCGAACGTGCCTATGAAGTCACCACAATTAGTTTTCCTCTGCCTGCATTCTGGCAAATGACCGACTTAAGGTCACTGAAAGAAATAAGAGCCCCTGAACTAACTGCCTTCTCTGTTACCAAGTCACAAATGAATGTCCTAACCACTGGACTTTCTTTTCTTTAGTGATGTTGTAACACCTAGTTAAGTCAAGGCCACAGGGCTGCTAGAGCATCAGCGTTGGCAGGGGAAACAGAGCAATCATGCTCCAAGTCCAGCTAGCTCCATCCATGGAAAAGTGAATCTGAATCTTAAGTCAGGAAAAAGCTCAGATACCTCAGCCATGCTCAGGGAGGCAGATCTGAGGCCTGACTCTGGTCAGAGAAGGCAAAGAGAACAGTGGAGAGGGCATAGGTTTGGGAGCCAGCAGGGCTGCATGTGGCAGAGGGCTTGATGATTAATTCGGCCAGGTCCAAAAACATAAATTGGACACCAAACTAGCGTCTCTTCTCTCCTACCACAAGAGTCACAGTGTTACATAACACCTTCTAAAATACCTGGATAAGCTGCTGCTTCTTACATTGAGGTGGACATAATTCTGATGGAAGAGGAGGAAGGAAATAATATGGTGGGAACATGTACACTCCCCAGAGCCCCAGACCCAGGAGAGAGAGCACTGTCTAGAGTCCAAGATCCACCTGCAACCCCAACATACTACTAGAGCCCTACCTTCTCATTTGCGAGCCACTTCCTCCTGCAACACTTGCACTTCTCATTCTCAGCACAGTTTCATGGGGCTGTGCTGAGAAATCAGCTACTGTCAACTTTGGGAGAGATCAAAGCAATTTCAAGCCACCCCTAAATCCATAGTCAGCAGCTTCACCTGACCACCAGTTCTTGCATTAGGCCTGGGTTCTACATCCTGCCGCTCACAGGGGCGGGGATCAGTACACTTGCTGACACTGCAGCCAGACCTGTCCTGATCAAACTTCCCTAGGATCAGCAGAGCTTAGCATATAGATTCAGTAACCCAAATAAGCTACAGAGATACCCTGGCAAAAGCAGTATGCAACAGTAAGGAGGTCTGTTGACTGCACTGCATTTGTAACATGTACTTTGCACCGTAAGATATATTCTTCTAGTCTAGCCTCCAACACCAGCTTCTATGGAAAGAGCAGTTTGATAAATTGACAGTTCTCTCCATCATGTGCTTGCTGGCCTAGGGAACGACACAGAAAGGGACATCATCCCAGCTGCCAAAGACCAGCAGCTGAGATTAATCCTGCTATCTATTGAAGAGACTGAACGAAGGCCAATATCTGCACAGTCATTAAGGTTTTCACCTGCACCGTTGTGCAGTTCTTCTCTTTCCAGGCTGCTATTTTCAATGGATCAACTTCTGCATACAGCATCTGCATTAAAATTCGTTACAAGCCGGTGCTCCTCCCCTTTACCCTCAGACCCTGCCCATGAGGGCTTGCACCAGAATCAGGAATTAAATCCCATCACAAAGACAGCAACAAAGGCAGCCATTCCTGAGTAGATACCAGCTGTGTGCTTGCACTTGCTAGTAAAAGCAGGGACTGGAATGAGAAACCGCTCCTCTTGGTAAGAAAGTAACTGCATTTGCGAGATCACCTCACAAGCTTCACAGGCTGCTTCTTATGTTGTGTCAGGTCCGTACCCACTAAGGCAAGGCTGTTCACGTCAAATAGTGTGGACTGGGTCCTATCCTTATAGATCAAGGAGGAATCTCAAGCTGAATTTAACTATGCTGTTCCCCTCCATCGCTCCAAACAGGTCTTACCTTCTAAAAACTTGCGGAGCATTGAGTCTTTTGTAGTTAGAGAAACTTCATCTCTGTCAATTGGAGTGTCTGGTTTGGACTGAAGCATCTCTACATCTGGAAAAAAAAAATCAGGAAGTTGAACCTGTTGATTATGCCCTTAAACATGTGGAAGCCTAATATCACCAGATGATGCGATATTTCTGAGTGGACCTTTGGTTTACGGTGAGAATGAAAGCAGAAGCCAAACAACTACATGTTTGCCTCAAAAAAGGCTCATAAGTTGCTAAGTTCAGTCCACTCTGCGCAAATCTTTGCCAGCTGTCTGATGATCACACTTGAGGGAGACAGACATGATTAACATTGCTTAGTGAGAAGTTCAGACAAGGCTCCAAGCAGACACTGAGGATTAGTTATTGCTTTGAGAGTGCTGGCCAGGTGAACGTTCTGGCCTCTGCACAGGGATTCTGAGAGGCCGAACTGGATGGAAATTTTGTCGACTGGCAAAACAAGACATTTAGAGCAATTTGCCCATGATGCAGAAGATGGCATTTGTTTTCTTTAGTGGATAAAGCTCAAAACAGCTGGATGTGTTAATTAGATGCATTTAGAGTGGTGAAGGATAATTCAGTATTGAGCAAGGACCAACAACAAGCAATAAGGTACTTCGTGAAATCACTGCTTTGACATTAAGGATTCTTAGTAAAAATGGTTAGCCTCATTGTAAACCTAAAACTGACCCTAAAACACTATGATAAAATATGTCAGATAACTGTGATCCTAATGCTGTTCAAAAGATAAGAGATGTAAAGGAATTGTTGAGGCATACAGTAAAATATCTATTAATATGTAAATTAGATGGTTTGGATTACTCGAGAGAATATTTAACAAATAGCTCTCTACACATTTCTCTGAGATTTTTTTTTTAAATATCTGCTTATCTGCTGACCTTTTTTTTCCCCTTGCACATATGAAGAGATTGTTAGTGAAAAAGGGATAACAATATGTTAGCAAGATTTTGCCTTATTAGAATGTTTTTTTTTTAAATAATTGTTAAAGAACCCACTGAAGGGTCATGTGAATGCACCCAAGTTAGCTTTAATCTCAGACATATACCTCTGTTACAGCTACCTGTTATAGCTACAGCAATATCACACACTGCACGGCTTAATCGCCACAGCAGCTTTATCGCACTGCAGCCCATGGCAAGATACCTGCTGCTGCTGCAGCCAATTTGCTCACCACCAACCTAATTTGAAGTTCACTTGGGTATCACTGCACTACATGGAAGCAGAGATTTGCCCTATGAGCACCCTAAAGGATCAGCATTACAGACTCTGTATTTTTCTGTAGAGTGATTTTTCCACCTTGAGGCAAACATGATTATTTTTTACAGAGCTCTTAGAAATGATTCCTGAGCAATTACACACCCTTCACAAAACCACTACTTTATGGATTTGGGGGCAGAACAGAATATGACAGGTGTGGAAAGTTCCTTTCATTCTCTTTGGAGGGAACACTGTTTTACCATTTTTTGCTGTGCTCCACAGGATTACTAAACCAGCAGAGCAACAGGATGCTGAAGGGTTTGTTTTCCATCACACAGTCAATGCAGTTAAATTTCTTATCTAATTAATTTTCCTTAGTAGACACGATTGCCACCTCGCTGCCCTCTGGCACGTGGGCCTGTTTTGCATATAAACGAGACCTAACATCTCACCTATATACCAAAATTGTAGAAACATTCTGGATTTCTTCAGTGACACCTTCTGTTCCACTTGCTGCAAAAACAAGATATTGAGACAGAAGTGGCAAGGAGAAGGTACACAAACTCTAGGTATCACAGCCAGGTCCCTAGATTTTTTTTGAAACTATTGGGGAAAGCTGTTCTGAAGGGCTAGCAGGAAGAAGGGCAAGTACAGAGTTTCTAGGTGTCAGTCTGCCCAGAATTTAGTAACTTAAAAGATATTTCTTCAAAGAGACTTTTAATTTCCCTTTGCAAGGTTTAAGATTTAACAAAGGAGCTCAACCAGCTTGCAAAGAGACCTACAGAAGACAAGTTATGACCCACTTACCCTTCCGAAAAGCCAAAATATGCATGTATGGGCACCCTTTAGAAAGTAGTAACGCTCTTCTCCTTTAAATATTCATAAACACCGATATTCCTGCACATCACAGAATCACAGAATCGTTTAGGTTGGAAGGGACCTCTGGAGATCATCTAGTCCAACCTCCCTGCTCAAGCAGGGTCACCTAGAGCAGATTGCCCAGGATCACATCCAGGCGGGTTTTGAAAATCTCCAGGGAAGGAGACTCCACTACCTCTCTGGGCAACCTGTTCCAATGCTCTGTCACCCTCACAGTGAAGAAGTTTTTTCTCAGGTTCAGATGGAACTTCCTGTGGTTCAGTTTCTGCCCATTGCCTCTTGTCCTGTTGCTGGGCACCACGGAGAAGAGGCTGGCCTCATCCTCTTGACACTCCCCCTTCAGATACTTGTACACATTTATGAGATCCCCTCTCAATCTTCTCTTCTCCAGGCTCAACAGGCCCAGCTCTTGCAGTCTTTCTTCAGAGGAGAGGTGCTCCAGCCCTCTAATCATCTTGGTAGCCCTCCGCTGGACTCTCTCCTGGAGTGCCATGTCTCTCTTGTACTGGGGAGCCCAGCACTGGACACAGTACTCCAGGGGAGGCCTCACCAGGGCTGAGGAGAGGGGCAGGATCACCTCCCTCCACCTGCTGGCAACACTCTGCCTCATGCACCCCAGGAGACCATTGGCCTTCTTGGCCACAAGGGCACACTGCTGGCTCGTGTTTAACTTGTTGTCCACCAGCACTCCCAGGTCCTTCTTGGCAGAGCTACTTTCCAACAGGTCAGTCCCCAGCCTGTACTGGTGCAGGGGATTATTCACATGATGAAAGCTACCTCTTTACAGAGATCAGTTCTTTATTATGTAAGATAAAAGCTTCAATCTGTTGCTGTAAATCACATCCTAGGACTTTAAAAGTTATGTTTCTGTGTACAATTCCTTCACTTTGCTCAAAGAAAACGAGGAGGCTGCTCTTTCTTGCATTAATTAAGGAAAAAAAAACCCAACAAAATCAACAAGCACAATGTTGAGATTTGTCTAAACAGAACAAATATGGTGGGAAAGGGAGTGGGTACGCTGGGGAGTAGAATAAAGGCATCACAACTTGCTTATATGTGAACTACCATCTACTCTTCAGGTATTGGAGGTTCTCTAACAGTCTTAAGATCCTGTGATCTGCAAATCACAGGATAGCACACTTTACTCGGCTGAAACTCTCTAGGGTAAAGAATCTCTGCATGGAATTTGCACTCTCTAGGTCTGAGAGTTCACACAGTTCATAGATATGGAAACAGTGCTAAGAGTCAGGCTTTCTTGCATCAATCCTTTGCCATCGACCATATCTGATTTTGGATAGAGGAAATACAACTTGGCTGTTTCCCCAAGTAAAATGGCATAATACCTCTCAAGATGGCTGTAAGGCTGAAGTCTCGTTAAGTGTATTGAAGTCAGGGAAGAATATTAATTTTTCCTCCCTTGGAAGGGGAAAAAAAGAATTCAAAAAGGGCTTTATAATTTCAGTCAGAAGAACCATAATTAGTAAATGATAGTGTAAACCTGAGAAATACCCAAGAGGAAAGAAATGCATTTTTCCTCTCTGAAAGGGGAGGAAACTGTGAGACTGAAACATGACCTGTATCAAAAACCATAGGGCTCCTCTCAGTGCCTTCTATTACACTTCTGCTTTGGCAGCTTAATGAAAAAGACAAAAAGAACTGGATGAAAAGATAAATCTGGGATTGATGCAGATTAAGGAAAAGACCACAATGGCAACAACGATGCTATTTGCAGAATTTGGATAGGTCTGAAGTGTAAGGGACGATGTCATCCCCTGCCCTCTACAGGATCCCTTTCGCTCTGCTGCTCAGGTACTTCGGATTGTTCTCTGCATGTGCATACATTCACACACACACACACACACACACACACTCTGCATTCCCTGACCACCAGCTCAGCGGTTTAACCTTCACAGCTCAAAAAGGTTTCCACCACTTTTCAGGAGTCTGAGCCCCTCCTGCACACAGCTCTAGCCTACCCATAATGCTCTGTTTTGTAAAAATCAGCAGGAGGTGCTGATGAGAGAACAGAAAAAGCAAAGTACTTCATTTCACACTGTAGTTCATGCTAGCAGACTGATATGACAGAAGTAACTCTCCCTTTGCGCTATTCAGCTGCTGTTTGTTACAGTGTGTGAAGGACTCAGCTAAATGAAATTTACCTTCAGCCTGCACCAACCTGGAGCAAATTCCATAAGTATTTTGGAAAATTGTGTTCGACTTTAAAGATACTTGAAAAGTGTAATAAAAGTGAAGTGCTCTTCTGGAGTGAGGAATGATTACAATTAATGATAAGAAATTAAATAAAGCAATTTAACTTTGTTTTTAATAACAGCAAACAAGCTAACAGCAGGTGCCAGTAAGTTCATGCTGATTTGGTCTGAGGAAGTGCTTTATGATCTGTGCTGCTCAGAGCATTAAGACCTACTTGAGAAAGAGCACTGCCTTCCAGTAGAGGGGGAGGCAGCATTTTGTAGAATAACAAAATCTTTTCCAGTTTTAACTCAAAACTTACAGGGACAATTAGCTACATCAGTTTATGCAATATTGGTCCTTGTACAGCTTCTCCACTTTCCCTGTAAAAGTTTCACTAGGACCAAATGCAGAGAGGGAAAAAAATGCATAAAAGCACATCAGAAAACAGATAAAGGATGAAGAATACAAAAATTGGCATACCACCCCAGTTACCTATATATTTGATACTACTATTAATTCGTTACAGTCGCTCCAACCCTGTGTTACTTTGTTCCCAGACCAATTTCTGCCAGATAAACTGACTCTACGGTGCCCAACCTTCCTTTGATCAGTTCTCTGAAAACCTGTAGTGGAAGCACATTCTGATGGCAATAAATGGGCACCCTGCCAGTAAACAGTCCAGGTATTGTCCTCTACACCACAGCCACTCACAATAAGGGCTACTCTGACCTGGAAAGTACCTCAGCAGGAGCTGTTTATGATTTCCTAGGGAGTTTTTCATTCCCACAAAGCTTTAAGTTGGTACAAAAGCTTCAGGTCTTCATTTGTGAGGCAGTCCTAACCCACTCAGCACTCCAACTGACTCCAGTGAGGGCTTGTCTTTACACTGGCATTCTCAGTAATAAAAAAAAAAAAAAAACCCTTCACTTTGAAAGAACCAATCTTTGTGGAGCATCGTGCCAATTTAACTTTACCTGTTACAACACAGATAGATTTTAAGCACTGTCCAGACAAGTCATATATGTTCTTCAGGCACACAGTAACAGACTAGATAAGAAATACAGAGATTTTCAGTTAAAGACTCCTGGATGGAAGGTGATAGATATGTGTGCACAGGAGCAATAGACAAAGGGAACTCTAGAAAAAGCAGGGAACACTCACATTCTTTGCTGAAGCGTTACAGATAAGCCATATAGAGTGTATTTTCAATAAGGAAAAACATACATTTTAAAACACAGACTCATTCAGCTCTGCTTTTGAGGAAAGGAAAAGGAAATATCTACATTAGGGTCAGTGTGCATTTTTACCTTTCCAGCCCTACTAGCCTTGCAGAGCCTGTAGTGCCTTTGCACACAGAACTGTCTGGTGCTGATCCCAGAGACCTCTGCCACCCCGCTGAAATGGCTGCACTTGCAGAAGGCACCCCTAAAGTGCAGAGGCCTGCAGGGCTTTCACTACTGAGGAGGCTGAGGACAGCAGGCTGACATAGGCTGCAGATGCACAACCTTTCCCATCACCAGGCAACCATTCCCAGCTGCTCATCTCCACACCCCACCAGCCTAGCAGCCTCCGTTTCACTTACTCCATCCAAAATGCAGGCCAAGCTTCTTCCTGAGTTCTGTCAGGCAGAATAAGTCAGGGTAGGAAAACATGTCTACTTGAAATGCTTAACATTGCAGCTTGTTTGACTGAAATGGACAAAGGGACATGCACACAAGCATCTCAGCCAGCAGACTGAGGGATGCGGTGATCTTCAGCAGGGAAGAAATGAACATCTCAGAGCAATTAGCTCTTCCACTAGCAGCTTGCAGGGCTGCCTTTCTTTCTTTCTTTCTTTTTTTTTTTTTTTTTTTAAAGACAGTAAGCAATTCTGATCTAAATCTGAACCAATATGGGGAGGCTTTGATAATATTTTCAGAGCAGCATTCCAGAGTCCAGTTCAAAAGTCCTAAGTTATGGGGAGCTTGATTTGTATCCATGAAAGAGAGGAATATGCCCTGCATGGTTTCTGGGACATCTAGACATGTCAAGGGTGGAAGAAAACAAGTTGGGATTAGTGGTTTTAAGCATGTCTTTCCCCCTCCTCAGTCTTAGTCAAGCAACCTCATTCAGAGGCTCACTCACTGATCCAACACAGAGCTTCCAAACATCTAGAAACCCTCACCCCAGTACAGGGGACAACCGTAGCTTCGTTCCTTAGAAGCCCAACCGGCCTTACTGCTTATTCTTCACCTGAAGGTGGAATAATCCTGGTTTTGGTAGCAATATAACCATCCCTGCAGCAGCCAAACAAAACTTCACAGAGAAGGGTGCATGATTTCAAGCAGAGAATTGATGACACAGGCTCCTGGACTCCACAAGCAACAGAAGCGTGTTTTATAGTGTAATTTAATCTAAAATGGAGGAAAATCAGCCCAGGACAGATATAGTTTACAAGCAAGAGTATTTCAATATGAAAACTTTTCTCCTGAGGCAGCATACTTAAAGCTGCAGAAACACTAGAAACCTTAGGCAGCTATTAAATTATAATAAAGGTAGGTTCTCTGCTCATCCAGGAAACCATAAAATATACCTGCGGGATGAAGCCAGACCAAGTAGGCAAATAAGTAAGAACAGGAAATTTGCAATTGCTTAACCCAGGTATTTAACTTTGTATTTGCAGTTAGCCTCACTGAATATTAACGAGACAGAGAAAAAAAGTTAAACATCTGCATATTTACCAGAATTAGCTCTACATTATTAGCAATAAGCAAGGAGGATTAGAATAATGATTTTCTAGTTTTAATCTTTCTGGTACACACACTTCTAGATCTCACTTTCTTTTGTTCTTAAGCTACTGAGGTACAAGTTCAGCTCTTGTTTCTGCTTGAACTTCCATGCTGTTAGTAAAATCATGTCTTGCATAGAGTTCTTTTCCACTAATGTCTATAATTCAAATGTTCATCTTCATATTTTAGACCAGTGTCAATTCTGAATTAACATGAACACCCAGGAAAATGTAATTTTAAGTGTACAACTAGTTTTGCGGTTAAAACCAACAGAAGTGCTGACCTCCCTGCTATTCAGCTGAGACAGTATGACACTCACAAGGGAGCTTTCACTCTCTTGCAGAGCTTCACTCTCTTGCAGAGCTTCACTCTCTTGCAGCAGAGGTAAAACACAAATGAGGCACTCTAACCCCATTGATTGGAATCAGCCATGTTCTGGAAGAAGGGCATTTATAATTCAGTATCTCCAAATTTTTAAGTAAAATTACAGTTGCACAGAAAGCAAAGATTAGGTTGAAGCTTTCCCTGAATTGTGTTTACAGGCTTCCTTTTTTAAAATACACAATTTCAAACAAGAGCAGTAGCTTGGAAGAAGGCAGCTGAAGTTTCAGAGGAGAAACAGGTTTGTGGAATTATGACAGAACATTCTGCATCATTGGTGTGAGCACAGCATTACAGCTGCCAAATCTAACCCTAACCCAAATCTCAGTTGTCTTCACCCTGTCCGACCTTATCACTTCTACTCAGAATCTGGAAATAGCAACTGCTCACCTGGTCACTATACAAAGTGCCCCAACCTCCCTGGATCTCAGGAGTGAGAGGCAGGGCACATGGTAGAAAATTCAGTCTGTTCTAAATGCGACCTCACTTGCTCTGAGTTGAGGGAGTCCTCAAAGTAATAAGAAAACAGCTCTTGACCTTTTACCCTCGTAATCACAGAAAACCTATGAGCAATTCCAGGTCTCTCTTGGGAACAGACTTCTGGTCCTTCATATTACAGTGCACAGCCTACCTCTGCACCAAGCAGCTACCCTCTTTTCCTCAAAGTCTCAACTTATAAGGAAGTTTAATAATCCAATAGCATCCCTCCGTCCTTCCCACACATCAAGTACACTGTTGTATCTTCTGGCGTTCACAGGACTCCAAAAAACATCAGTTTCTATTCCTGTCTTCACAGGGTGTAGTTTCACCTTTCATTAGGAGGACAACCCTCTTCCTTCTATTAATAAAGTCTTAGGAACATCTGAATACCCCAGAAGCATGTTGGTGAATACAGGTAATAAGTCCGGGCATGTCAACCATCTAGCTAGTGGTATTTGGTAACTTTTCAGGGAGCGCCCATGAGGAACTTTCTTTGCCACCGGTTGCAAAGCTGCATGCTACTATCTGGCTTCACAACTGTTCTTACCATGGCCTGGGTTAGCATGGTTCTGCCAGCAGCTGCATCACCACAGGCAGGGTCCCCGACATACAGTAGATGTTGCGTCTCAGGTCATCTCTGAGCAAAGTCAAGCTGTAGAGCAGCTCTCTTCTGAAATTCTTTCTAATCTCATTCTAAAGCACCACTATTAGCATAGGCAATAGATTCTCACAAAAGCTAGAGGATGCTACCATGGCTTCTCCTCCACTTGCAAATCAGTTTGGAGTGCATTGATTTTGCTTAGAATGACCATGCCTAACAGCATAAGGTATGCCCATTTCACATTGGGCATGGTCTGTTACTAGGAACGTGGGTTACTAAGCTTTGGTACAAGTTACGGTAAAGCTGAGGTAACTCAGTCTTTTATCAGCCAACATCAGAACTGGAGCATGGCTTCCTTGGAGTGAGAGCAGAAATGCTATGACCAGCCCTTACTCTAAAACTCAATCAGGGCACTGCTACGTATACGAGACACACTGCAGCTGAGGCCTCTAAACCTGGCATATCACAGAGATTATACATACAAAGGTCTTCTGGGGCACCAGGGACAAAGCCAGCCATGGATTCATAGAGCTCTTCGTCGGAGCCAGGATTCAGGGAACGTTTCATCAACAGGTCAGTGGACAGATGAGCCATGGACTCATAAACAGACTCATCCTCCTCGCCTTGCATCAGCTCTTCCTTAATGTGACTCTTCAGCATATCTGCAGTTTCCTGGAGAGGAAGGAGTGCAAGAAAAAATGTTCAAGTCTTCTTTAAATAAAGGATCTGTAGAATCTAAGAAAAGCAGGAGACCTCTCTCCCATCACTAATGGAAAAAAACACTCCCCAAACCAGCCTGTTACCAAAGACTAAGGCTTTTCAAAGAAATTAAATCCCCATTACAGGTGTCTGGGCACAGCCTTCAGGATTTATGTTGTAATAATAGATAATGAGACTTCATAACCACAGCATAGGTAACCTGGTGCTTCTACCACTACCAGGATCTGAACAAGAACCACTTTGACCCCCTTTGACTTCTGCCACAGGAATCCACAATGCCAGACAAGTGGTGGAAGAATAGTCAGCTGCAGATACAGGATGGTCTTTGAGAAACAAGACATCATACGCTACCTCTCTCACTTAACTTCACCTGCACAGTGACTGTAGACACAGCAGGTGCTAGGGCTTACAGGCTGGGAAGAGATCCAGATTCCCCTAGTCAATACATTATTAACAACCAATATTGCTACGATATTAACAACCATGGCAAGTCCCAAGTTTACCTTGGGAAGGTGAAACAAGGGGGTGCTGACACATTCTGAGCAGCCATTACTGCCTCCCTCCCCCTCAATTTCGTTTCCTGCCTGCTACCTGCAAGCTCCTGGAACATAAGCAAAGCTCATTCTGAATGCACAAGGCTTGTCAAAGGCTATTTCTGGGTAAGCGTAGCTGACCGTGATAAGAAAGCTTGCCACATGCGGAGCACTTACAAGAAAACAAAGTTTTGGCTTTGCTCTGGATTCAGTTTCAGTTTCTTGGCAATAGCAGCAGCATGTAACACCCACAGTGGGAGTACACAGACCCCCTTCACTATGAGTCTAACAGGAAACCTCATAGCAGGCAGCTGCTCTCGTAACGCAGGCAACTCCTGATTTACAGGATAGCAGAGTTCTTTCTCATACATTTGCCACCTTAGAGAGGTGCTGGTCTTCAAAGTCACACAAGAAAGCAAAGTAAAAAGCTTTGCTCTTCCCCAAGCTCTAACTATGCCACAAGCACAGCCCTTTTAGCTGGTTGCAGTACAGCAAGGTATTCCTTTCCATCCACACCTCTCACCTCATGGGCTTTCATCCACAGGGCATCTGGGCCAATTTTTTCACACACGCTTCCCTCCGCAGTCAAAAAAGAGGTCAGCATTTGACATGCCATGCTTTAGGGAGGTGCAGATGAACTTATCCCAGAGAGAAAATGGGGTAAGATGGTTTACTGAGATTTCCAGATATCCATGCTAGTACTGCCACTAAATATACAGTGTGCTTCCAGTCACCACCCTGCAGTGGACACATCACTTGAGTGATCTGCTACTAAGCTGCACAGGTAGCTTAATGGCTAGCAAGCAGGGCCTGCTCTTAACACACCTCTGCCACATTGTTGGTGGAGAGGAGAGCAGAGGAGGAGCAAAGCACAGCCATGAGAGCCTGGCAGGATTTCCTAAGCATCTCACGCTTCCCCCCCAAAAAAAGATTTTTATCACACTGACAATTTACAGTTTTTCAGCCATCCTGGTCTCAGAACAGGGAATGACCTGTATTTAGCTCTGATGTATAACTCAAAATTCATCTTTGTGTCAAAAAGCAAGCCCCACATCTAAGAATCACCCATGTCTCCTAAATAGGGCTTAAATACTAATGTAATAGGGTGGCAGAACCACACTAAAGCTGGCAGATCTTTCACCCACCATTCAGATAACTGTTAGATACAGTTATACACATTTTTTTCCACTAAAAAATAAGGCAAATAAAATCTGCTCTAGAATCTTCTGCTCCATCTGAGCAGAGGAGCTGCTTGTTATTGTGAAGTGTGTAGGCTGAAAACAATGCAAGTGGAAAAGAAAGGTTAGACCCCTCACACACCTAAGAAACAGAGACAAGGGCCTGATGCAGCTGGTCCACTTTGTAGTCCAGAAGAAGTCAGAGGGCTGATTTCTGGGGATGAGGTTGGCTCAAAGAGAACCAAATTGTGAATTGGGCCGCCCACAAAGAAAGCTAGTAGGGAGGGACAGCCATCCTAACATAAGATTGTCTTAATACTATCTTAATACTGGATTTCAAGAGGAACAGGCAGACTGCATAGATCAGGTTGTGAATGAGCTATGACTAATCAAAGAGCATCTGGGGCTGCACCTATCCAACTATACTCCGTTTTCCCATACTACTCCCTAAAGCAAGTGGGAGGAAGGGGCCACATCTTTGCCAGGATCGGGGTTAGAAAAGCCTCACATCAGATACCACATCCCTGCAGAAGCATCTTTTGATGGGTGGGTGATAAGGAAAACAAGCATGGCAGGCTCTGCTTCCTTCTTTTTTCCCCTATTCAGAAGCCCTAAGAACTTCCCTGGCTTCAGAGATGAACCCAACTGTCCAGCATGGAAGCTTTCATGGTGGCCGGACATCTGCCTTCTACACCCGTCTGTACCCTACCACACCGCATTGTGCCCTTTGCTACCCTAGCGTTCCTGCTCCCACAGCACTTTCAATGCCAGGCTTGGTGCCACCGCCCACACCCGCTGCGGGGCAGCTCAGAAGGACCACTGCTCCCTCTTACCACATATTCATCAATGAACTGGCGGAGGTCTTTAAAGCCATGCTTTTCTGCTATGGTGTTCGGATAGTGACCATATTTGTTGGCTACGCTGTAGGCCTGCAGTGCTCCGGGGCACGTAAGCAGCAAGGCGGTGAGGTTCTTCAGCCCATATCTTGCAGCAAAGTGAAGCAGTGTTGGCAACTCTTCATCCCTCTGATCTGTGAGAACAAAGGCCCTTTAAAATCTAAGCTTTTCTCTAGCAGCAACAGAGCCAGTAGGTGAGAAACAGACTTACTAGCAAAGACATAGACCAAAGCAGGTATGAAAGGACTGAAAAGTATATATACCATTTTAAAATGGAGTTAGGTCTGTATGAATGAAGTATCAGAGGCAACTAGTGCATCTTCAGGTTTGAGTCCTATGACCTTTAGCAGGGAATCTTGCACTGTAATAGCTGAAGGTATACAGGATCACAGGATCAGAAGGACCTCCCCTAAATCATCATTCCAGCAGGAACCAGCTGGTGTAAGGCATGCATGTTATGGTGCCACACTCATCCAGCTGGTAAGTGCCCATTCTGCACATCAGAGCAGAGTCATGGGGTTAGGGAGAAATGTGACTCGGAAAAGGACGAGGGAGAAGATAGGGGAGACATTTGCAGGGCACTGTCTTTTCTTTTTGGTTGTTTGAAGCTGTCCATGTGGCTCTATCTATCATAATGCAAGGACGTGAGACTGATGCATGTAATACAAAGGATCACCCAAACCAAAGAGCAGTCCCCCTTCTACAGGCGTCATCAGAATTTCAGCTTCCTGGCTGAGATTCAACATTTCAAGATCGCTTGTGTATGTAGTATGCACTGCAGTGTTAAGGAGCTCCAAGGTACCTTCAAGGAACACAACTGTTGCAGGTAAAGTTTGAAAAGTAAAAAGTAAAAAAACAAAACAAATAAAAATCTTTCAACTTACTTGTTGTCATATCTTCTTCTTCCAGCTGGTTGATTCCAAACAGGTGTAAGCCACTGGCAGGAATGTTCTTCTTTAGTGACTCAGTCAGCAGTTTGTCCAGTGCTTCTATGCTGTACGGCACAATTTTAAAGGCCTAGAGGAAAATGGGAAGTGATTTTATTTGGGGGAATCTGGAAATTCAGTTAAGTAGAGATCTATACGGTGATTTAGCAAGGTTTATTTAACATACATCAGAAAACACTAGACATAAATACTGATGGTGCTAATGTTCAGATCAAGCAAGGAACATGAACAGCTTCTTGGTCCAGAAAGAGTAACATTAATCTGAATAGATGAGATTTTATACTCCAAAGGCAGCCTGAAAAGCACAACAAGCAAGACAGAGTGCAATGAGAGTCAGTCACGTAACTGGAAGCAGGGAGGACAATTACTTTCCAGTTCCTTGATTAGTATCATCTCACTTCTGAAACCGTGCCAATGAAGGGTAATTCCTGCTCTAACCAGGAACTAGTTCACTGTGAATTGCTCCGGCATACGCTCTGGGTTTGGCTTTTGGAACCGATTCTTAATCAAATACTGTGAAGCATGCCTATTTCCCAAGTAGAGGCACAGTCCAGTACCAACTGCTCCATAACTTGAACTAAAAAGGGAAGGGAAAGATAGTCATCAGCCCTGAATATGCTGATGACTATCAGTAGTATTCTGTAGGCTTCTGCTTTGTGGCTCACCAGGAACATGCAGACAGGCAGCAAAGGCAACAGAGCTAGAGAACTTGCCCATGAAAGCTCTACTCCTCTAGTAGTGTTCAGGTACCCTAAGTGTTCAAAATATGACATGAGAACTCAAGACTGCCTTTAAAAAATAGGTATTAAGAATAAATAAATTCAGGTACTTTTATTTTACTTTATTTCATTCAGCTGGTCAGAATCTTTGCTATTTTTTCACAGCTTTTCCAAAAACGCTTAGGTACAGATTTCTAATCAACCTATTTCTTTGTGTACTTCTGTCGATATCAAGTTCTGACATTCCAATTTTTCAAGTCATGCTTTTGCTAAAGGGGATGTTGTTAGGCTACCCCTGAAATAACCTTGCATATCTTCTTTTCAGAAGAGCTATCTCATGGCAGGCATTTTTGCTTATGCCCACTTGTCTGCCACTGAAGAAGCTCTTTGCTAGAGTCATTACCTGGCACATGAACTGCACTGGGTTAGCTGCATTAGCCAACAGACTGCTGATTTCCTCCATGTCAGTATGATAGGTGATGCTTGTTTCTCCCACCATCAAGTCCCCTGAATATATCTGCATAGGCACTGTCCCAGAGGTTAAATCTTTGAAAAGAAAGAGAAGAAATCACCATTAAGAATAAACAATGGGAATGAGTATTCCTCAAGTGACTTGAGGATAGGAGAGGTGTGGAGACACCAGCTGGATACCAAAAAAGTTTATGCTGCAAATTTATGAAAAGTGATGAAAAAGAGAAGATGTCGGTCTGAGCACCAGGTAGGAAAGTACTTTGAAAACACCTTCTTCAGAGCCATGTCAATGCACATCACCTCTGACCCGCTGGGTCCTCTGCTAACCCTAATATGGCCCCCTAATGTTAACAGCACACTACCCCAAACTACAGCACCTCACACCTCCATAGTCTTGGCTTTCACTGGAGCAGTCTCCCAACCATGCCATAGAATATGAGAGCTGGGGAAGAGGGGGAGAGTAACTAGAAAAGTCACTAGAAATTTTGCATCCCCCTCAGCCTCACTGGCCTCTGTGAATGAAATCAACTTAAAAGAACTCCAGCTTTGCAACTTTACTCAGGCACAGGAATTAGCTTTTATATGTGCCTTGGGAGCTTCTTGATTTTATGTCCAGAGTACACTCACTGGTTTGTTTTTTCTCTCTGAAACGCAAGTATTTTGAATCCAACCAAAATTAATCTTTCCCTGTATATATGCCCTATTGTAACAAGTCAGGAAACCACTAGCAGAGTAACTGTCACATACATAAGGAACTAAAAATTTATTTATGTTACTGTTAGAAACTGCAGGGTTAACATACTTGGAAACTCCATCAATATGAAGTTCACTTTTATAACACAAAGTGCAAGTTAGTTTCCAGACCAAGTTTAAATTAGAGGTCTTCATTTAGAACAGATTAATTTGAACTTTTTTATGTGACTGAGATCACCTCCCTTAAATCCACCCACCTCCCTGACTTTACGGGAGTTGCTATGACAACTGTTGGTGTCTATTCCCAGAGCTGGCACATTGACTCTTCAAGAAGACAGACCAAAACAGACAAAATAAAACCATGCTGGGAATCTACAATAAATCTATAAGACTCTTCTGAAATCTCGCCCCTAGACTTTAGGGAACCTAAAGCTCAGAGAACCTTACTTCTGTAAATGTAAGTATCTACAGTGACTGAACAACTCCGATTTAAAAGGCAAGCTAGGAGAAAAAGTTTCAGCTCTGATCTCACACAGTTCTTCATACATTAAGCATGTGCTATTATAATCATGAAATTATTTACTAGCAGGCACTTACTTTTCTTGGCACCCTGCCAATACTAATATGGCTGTGGTAAAAACACATAGCGCTTTACAAGCTGTAATCTGCTCTCTGAACTCCCAGTCAGGTGCCTTCGCATTGCCACCCTACCACTACTGAGGTGCAAAGTAGAGACCCCGAGCAGCAGTTCCACACCACAAAAGCATCACAGATGGGAATTCATGTTCAAGATTTCCTGGCCTCCGATTTTCCTGTGTTACAACCTGTACCTTGTACCCCTCTGTCACTTTTCATGACAGGTGGGTTAGGAGTAAAAGGAAGGAAAGGGGGAAAAAGCATCAACCCAGCTTACTTGGAGCCTCCACAGAGATTGTGTACTCATTCTCCATCTTGGCCAGCACACGCACAGATGATGCGTTCTCTGGAGAGAATTCAACTTCAGTTTTCACTTTGCCATCAAGTTTACATTTCATGATAATATAAACTGTTGTCTGCACCTAGGAGCAAAGGCATTAGTTCACAATGTAACATTTACTTTGTTGAAGTGCCTTTTCCAAGGATTTTGTTGTCATTGCAACTACCACATAAATTATCATCAATTATTTCCATGGTCCTGAACAGCTTTCAGGAGCTTCTTCCAGAGATGGAGTAACCACGCAGCTGGTTTCTTGCTACAAGCTTGCACCAGCACAGATGCAGGCATTATAAATTCTGCAACACCAGAAACTCTCCGACTCGCCATTTAGTTTCAATTACATCAGCACCTCTTTCCTCAAACAGCACAGCTCCATTCCAAGCAGAAACAAAGCAAGGAACTTTGAGCATATTTCAGAGATGAAAGGGTTTGCAGCAGCTTCCGCAGATTATCCTTATTTTATCTGTCTGTCTTTAGTCAGGACTTCGTTTAAAAGGCAAAAATCTCAGTTTATAACAGCAGGGCCAGTGAGAGTTTCAAATAATTCAGCCATTACACTAACTTTTACATTTTACTGAGTCCTCCACTGTGGCCTGAGACTTGTCTAACTTCTACTTAGTTGAATTATGAAGGTGAATTTCTGGATCAGACTCTCAGTTCTGGAAACCAGGAGATTTCTGGACCACGTTTTGTGGTACTCCTCCATGCTGCAAGTGTCGTACTGCTCAGCTCTCGTCTATCCAGTCAGGATTTTAAAGATCACCAAGACCTGGGTTGTGGCTGCTTATATACCTTACTATACTACATAAAATAGCGACACATCTGAGAGAAACCTGAAGAGATTTTCATGCCCATAATCTTATGCCTAACATAATCATTGCCTGGCCCAATGGAAGCAGCCCAGCAGCTGCAGATAACTCAAAAGTTTCTGAGTATCTTAGGATCTCCTCAGTCCTGGACCTTCTACAGCTCTATCATGAGTTCTGGACACCATTCCCAGACACTCCTTGCCATGTTGTAGTTAATGTATTTATCGCTAACTTAAAACATGGACAAGCCAAGGCAAAACAATTTTACCGACCTTACAGCCACTATAAAGCATGTTTTGTTAATATCTGTCAGCTTATAGCACTGGAGAAATTCCTCCAGCAAGCAAGTCAAGATATCAAGATACACAACCAACTCTTGGAAACAGATGAAGTGAATGCAGTAACAGATGCCCAGTAAATATGCAGGGATACAGCACTATCCCCATGGACAGGCAAATAGAGCTGAGAGAAAAAAAATCCAGATTGATCTACTTTTCTCTTTTAAGGCAACAACTCTGTAAGAGCTTGAAGCAATCCAGCAGTCTGCTGACTTCTCAAACAAACCCTTGCTGGGGTCAGTTCCCAAGCCACACATACACGAGGGAACACAAAAGAACTCAGGTAAGGATACTTCCTAAAAACGTCAGTTCCTTTCTTTCAGTCCTCCCTCCCCACTGACAAAATGCTATTTCAATCCAAAAGCAGATTATGTCCATGCTGTGAGGCACATATTCAGAAACTACCAAATAGTCCAGCACTACACAGCCGTGACTCTTGCTATAGGCTGAAACGCAGTACACAGCTAGCATGCTGCAGGGTACAAGCTTAAGCAGCACAATAAACCCATGTACCTGGCTACAGGAACTGCAATGTCATTTTTATCATGCTCAGCACCCACCAAGGCGGAAGAAAAGTAAAAATTGCTTCTAGTCTAACTGAAGAGTATGGCCAACAGCACTCCAGAGCTCCTTTGCAAAAATCACAAGTAAGGCAGGCTGTTGCTTTTAAATTTGAGCCTCTTTGTTCCATTTTTTTATCCAAGCTTCTGCATAGCATGAAATCAGTCTTTAAGTAAAAGCAGAGGTTCCCAGAATCACATGATTCCTTTAGTTGATGCTTTAAGAAAAAGTACCAAGAGAAATTTAAAATCCCATGAACTGGCAAAACTGATACGAGTAAGGGAAAAATATCCAGCCCTCTGTCTCAGTGCACTGGAGCTTGAGTCTGCCTCGCCACAATCATATGAGGAGGAAATAATGTAAAACAGCAGTCACACTTCAGTGAACCTTTGTTGAACTGTTAGCTTTGACGTTTCCTCTGACAATCAGTGCCTCCCACACGAGCACCTCACACCTCAAAATTATGCACTGAAAATTCAAGCTACACCAGTTGGAAAGTACACCACAGAGGAGGTGAACCTAGTCATGCCATACCCTTTTCTCCTGGCACGTGGTATTACAATTTTTCTGTCTGAGAAGATGCTATACCAAAAAATGCTGTTTTTCAGACAGGAAGCCATGATCAAAGCTCTTTGCAGGCCACTTGCAGGACATGCACCAGAACTGTGGTATTAGACTGCGTTCAGTCTCTGGATTTAATTGGTTCATTACAATCACCTTGCTCCATTTTCTGCCCCAAAATCTCACCAGATGGGGATTCAAGAGTGTGAACCTGCCTCACAATACACAAGATAAGCAGTGAAGTTAATGAGATTTTCTAGGCTGCACTGTCATTTTTTGACAACGCTGGGCATTGCATGTTACTGAGCTATTTTCTCAGCCTAAGGAAGCGAGCTCATGAAATAGACACTGAAGACAGGGGGCTGTGAGGGAAGATGGCAGAAAAGGAATTAGGGACTGCTCCCCAACCCAGTAATACTGTACATTAAAGATGCGCATAAGGTATTGCATCAGCCCACAAGAACGTGGCCAAGGAGCAGGCATACGGTACCCCACAACGTATGTGGTCAGGCTGCACCACTGGATGGTCTTCCATGCTCTTCCATGACCCATGCTCTTCATCCATGGCAAGTCTGGAGCAATAAACTGGGTTCTTCTCGTCTTCTGCCTCTGTATCAGTCACAGAGTCACAGCCCGAGTCTAAAATAAAGCATACAGAGTCCTGTTACATCATTCTCATTTGCTGAAAACGCATGCACACATCATACACATCCTGAGAAACAGCCTAGAAGAGAACGTGGGGGACCGGAACTTGCTGCACTTCTCAAAGTTTTGCTCAGAAAAGGGGATCTAGTTGAAAAAAGGAAACTACAGAGTTTCCTTATTTATTCCCTTAAGAGGATTGCTGGGGGACATTTGCAAAGACACAGAAGTGCTGGAGTAGCACTGAATATGCTTATGCAACACAAAGCCTCTCTCTGTTGAGATAGGCAGTATCTTCCTCGTACTAGACAGGCAAATTAGTATGTTGACATCTAATATAAGAACAATCAGCAACTGGAGGCATCTGACTCAAGCTGTGTTTGAAATGCATGGTGCGAAGACAAACAGCAGCCTTCAGAGTCCTCCTCTCCTAAAGCATGTGGAGGAAAACTATTCTTTAATTTCAGCAGTGTCTTTAGTTTTCTGGGTCCTGCTTGAATTGCTTGCTGCATCTACTGGGTTCACCGTTGTGTTTAGAAAGTACACCATCAGGCAGTACTCCGAAGGGAACCTGCTCCTAAAGCAAGCCCTATGTCTGTAAGAGAGTGAACTTGCAACATAGAGCTTTTGAGTGGAAGAATCACAGTACTCTACCCAAACAGGCCCAAGAGGAAAGGAAAATATATGTAATCATACAGTCTGTGCACAGAACAATGATCTCACTCCTGTTTCCCAAGAATAGCATTTATTTTGATGAAAGAGCAAACAAATTAAATCAATATCACTGGTTACAAAAAAGTTAACATGAATTAAAATAGCTACATAGATTAATTTCTCCTATCCTAGCTAGAAATTACTTTTCCTAAATAGTGAAAAGAAAGGATAGCCAACTTTGTATCAATTTAGCAGACTGAATTTTTATCTAATTTCTACCTCTTCATACCGTTTTTCACCATCTGCTAAAACATGGGGTGAAAGTCATTGACTTCCTCCTGCCAGAAGACTGGCATTAATGCTTAAAAGTGCATCTCCCACAGCCAAAATTTTCCATTCAAACTTTGGAAAACTGCAGAGCAGTCAAAGATTTAGGATAACATTTTGGAAGTCACTTTTTAATTTATTATTTACCACGCATCTGTAAAGAGCAGTACAAATTATTCACTACACAAAGTCTCAGATTCAGACTAGCAGAGGTTTTATATTAGTAAGAAGTTTTGTATATAAAATGCTCCGGCATAATGAGAAAGACTTAAGAGACTCTCTAGCACCTGTACTGTCTATTCTGTGGCACTCATACAGTGAAGAAGCCAACAGGCCAGGCTTTACTCAGAATTACTCCAGCTTCCAAGCACATCAAGCTTTCACAAATTAAGAAAGCCAAAGTGATTAAAGCAGGCTTCCATTAGGAATTCAAGTCCTGCTAGTTTCAGGGAACTCAGAAATCAGTTAGGAATTTAAACCTAAATGTCTTCATTATTATTATCAATAAAGATTTAAGCTTAGAATATTTGAAACTCTCTGATTTTGTCCCATACAATAATTTTTTTTATTTCTTCTATACATTTAAATACAATTTTATGGATTACACAGATGGAATTTTGTTTTCAGGAGACAGGTTTTGTGCAACAAAAGTTCAGCAAATTATTCAGCTGAAAACTTTCTCAAATAGTGGTACACACACTTAACTTTAAGCATGTGAATCACTCCACATAGCAAGTTGACTCACATGAGTACAACCACATTGCTGCTTAAATGTTTGCTGTAGGAGGAGTAGAAACAAAAATCTGCAGCTCTGTAAAGTTCTAGTAAGGCATCACTGCCAGCAACAACAACATTTCTTAAATGTAGAAAAACATCTGTAATTTAGCAAATAGATTTCAAAGCTGCCCCAACGCAAATATACAGATTTGACTAAGAAAAAAAAAATACTTTGACATGGAGCTACATGCTGAAGGTGGTCTTTTAATTTTCAGGCAGCGGTACTAAGTATTACTGAAAATGGATTGAGGTTTTAAATTCCTTAACTCAATATTTTTATTGATACTATCCAAAGTCATCGGCTGCAAGAGCCAAATCCCAGTTTTGGGAACCCTTTTCTTGAAGAAGGGTGCACTGTTACCATCTCAGGGTGCCAAGCTATCCAGCTGCATAGGAGGAAATCAAGTGCTGGTCCCACATCCTCCACCATATCTCTCACTTTAAGTGTTTGGTACAAGCATACCAAACCAAGACAGCAGAGCCATTTGAGAGGAGGAAAAGAGGCAATTGTTACTGGAATAGACTCTCTGTAATCTCTTTTAGTCATTTCCAATATGACTAAATGAGAAAGAATAAACCTACTGCAAGAGAAGAAAGCCAGCACTGACCAAATCACAGCAAAGCCCTAAAATTCCTGAAATGTATGCATGAGCTGACACTTGCATATATCTTGATACCAAATGCATCATCCCCCACTCCATAATATGGAATTGTCAGTGTGGTAATCTGTACCTAACTAGCCTAACCTATGCTCCATTTCAGAGGAGAATAAGATCTAAAGCTGTGGACCTCAGATACATTATCCACAGTAAACAAGGATAAGAGGGGAGCAAGTAGCTACAAATTAGCAGATGAAGGAGAACTACAGGAATCTGTACTGGAGCTTTTAAGAAGTTCTAGCATTGCTTGATCCTGTCCTGCACTTCTGCACTATCGTAACAGAGCTGATTGCCTGGAGGTCATGTAGGAACAGAACTGTTAGGTAATACGGGAAGAAAAACAAGCAATGTTTCTCAGTTACTGGATTAACAGCTGATGGAACAGGCATTAGGAGTTTTGCATATGAATCATTCATCTGTGTTTTCTCTCAGAAAATTTTGAAATTGCAGATTACCAATTTCCCCTATAAGCAGCCAAGTAACGCTATAGAAGACATCTTGCAAATTCCACTCACATTATCAATTTGTGAATTTGCAAGCATCACATGAGGAAACCACCCCACTACTTCTGATAATACTCATAACTCTAAAGTAACATGTGTTGTTAGATCAGGACTCCCACTCACAAAGACACTTTAGAAATAAAGCACATTTGCATATACACATACACACATTACTGCTGTAATGACACCCAGGTTAGAGAGGCCATCGCTGAAGAAATTGCACTCGGCAGAAAGTTAAGAGAATACCTGAATTGAGCTTCTCCATCAGCAGCTGCTGTAGGTCAACAACTCTTGGTTATAAATGGCGCTGTCTGCACAGAAGGGCCTTTCTGTTCCCCTTTAAAGGAAGGCTACCTCAGGCCACGCCTGACACCATGAAACATTTGTGAAAAGAGCAACTAGGCGAGGAGATGTGGTCCAAGAAACCCAACCACATTTCACTTTGAAGAATGTGCCCCCCCTGCCCAGGAAGCATCAGTAGCTAAGTTACAGAGAGCAGCTCCATGCAGGCCCCTTCTAGTCTCTCCCGCCTGGTTCCCCAGACAGCTGCCCTGCTGGCTGCAGAAACTCATCCCAGGGAAAGCATAGGCCTGGCCACATGCTTCTTGAGACATTTAGCAGTTTTAGAAAACAATATGAAGCAGATAGTTATTTTAATCTGCTGTTCTACAGAGCATACAGCTTGCTGTCATCCATTTCCCCCGGCTAAGCAGGCTGACTATCTGCATGGAGCCAGCAGCTGTGGTTTCTCAGTATTCACAGCTCAGCTCTTACACCACAGGACACGTGAACTCTCGGAAGGAGTCAGCAGCTTGTCCAGAGCACTTTGTCATCTAGATATTAATGCAAATGGCATGACTGAGCAATAGTCTGTTCTCCATGTGTGGACCACCCCCTTGCCAGCATCTTTGAACACTTCCAGTTTTTCCATTGACCAACTCTCTAGTGGAAACAACTAGCTTCCATAAGGCCTCAGACTCCCACCTCAGTGCTCCCAAAGCAAGAGAGAAGGCCCTCAAAGAGAGCTCCTGCTATCGCCTGAGACTCGCAGCTGGCCAGCCTCCTTTTCCAAGTGTGAACAAGGACATTAGGTCTCCCTGAGCAACTACCACTGCATTTACTGGAAGTAGGCAGAGCACTGATGAAGATTTCAGAGGGAGCGGGAAAGTCATCTGTCATCATGCTAACCTCAGGGCTCCTGCTTTACCAAAGAGATGCACACTCAGCAATGAAACACTTGGTGATAATCCCTCTGTCTAACTGGTAAGGCAGCAACATTGTTACTTCCCTTTTCAACAGAGGGGGTAAAAGCATGCAGGAAAGCAGCAAGCGAGAAGAAACAACACAGAAAAATCTAAGATCTTCTAAAATTGTCTTTATAGAACAAATAAGGTAGAGAACATCTCACCCCCCTTTTCAACATCCCCCCCCCAACTCTGCATCCCAAGCAGCTTGTTTTTGGCACTATGCTTACAGATTTAAGTGACAGATATTCAGTTCTACAAAGCAATGGCACTATGCTTACAGATTTAAGTGACAGATATTCAGTTCTACAAAGCAACGGCCACATTTTACTTGTCCTGTAACAGTTATTTTGGAAGTTACAATAAACTAGTTTTCATCTTCCATCAAGGAAGCAAGCTGTATTTTACTAGGACAAGTTTTGCTTGAGCGAGTGTGTTTGTGCATGTGTGTGTCTCTTAGGGAAGTTGCATTCTTGTGGAGAACACAACTGGGTTACTAAGAGATCTGTTGACAGAACCAGGGTTTCAATGAGTTGTGAGAAGCCAGAAGGTACAGTTATGTTTACCTTTGTAACCTACTAAGACAATATATATCCTAAAAACTCAAAAACATACACTACTCCACAGTTCCTCTATGAAGTACATCCCATCCTATCTTAAAGGGATTGTTCTCCTTTGTTATATTTTAGAACTACAAACATGTAACTGAAAGGAGAAAAATGTCTTTGCAGCAGAGCGCAAGAGGCTTTCATGACCTTCATTGAAATTTAACCTAATGAATGAATCTGTTCATTTTTCCTAGCTCACCGTTCCCAGACTCGGCTTCCAAGTTA